AAGAGCGTTTTTGCGGAGACGTACAATCCCGAAGAGGACGAGGAAGATGACGGCTTTAAGGTAGTGTGTCATACCGTTGTTATACCGTTTCACGATCTATCGGTCACGTTCTCGATAACGAGGCGAACTAATGAGACATCCTTTGCGAAGATTTGACGTCTCGCGTCTTATATCTTTTAAGAAAGAAAAAAATAAAACGACTTTACGCGTCAGCGGCTGAACAAGATTATGGAAATTGACTGAATAACAAAAATCACATGTCGATATATCGTGACACATTTTGTCTGATCAATTCGTTCTATTGTCTTGATAATGTTTATTCGAAAACAGTGTTTCTTTTCTCGATAAGAGGCGCGCGTCTCGATATGTCATATCGTCGTATCAAGGAATCCTCCGTTGATCAGATATCATAATGACAGATATATATTCTTTCAGTTTTCTGAAGAGTACATGTTTTGCTTCCTGATTAGAGGAAGCTTTGTTTTCGTGACAAATTTTTTTTTTTCTGTTTTCTATGCCAATGTATTCAGAATATTTCAAAACGTCAAAAAATCACGCGGTATGGAATGTTTGTGCAAGCTCTAACTTCCGCAAATTTTGAGATACCGGATTAAATTTTTTTAAATGAATAGAGCATCATTAAAGGATGGTTGATGTTAAATTTCGTGAGGGTCGGTGAAAGGGTTCATTTTTTATGAAATTTTGAATTTTTTGAAAAATGTCAGTGCAGGCTTTAACTTTTGCAAATTTCGAGATATCGAGCTAAATTTTTTTAAATGAGTAGAATGTCATTAAAGGATGGTTGATATTGAACTTGATGAGAATTGGTGAAAGAGAGTTCATTTTTTATAAAATTTTAAATTTAAAAAAAAATATCAGTGCAGGTTTTAACTTTTGCAAATTTTGAGATATCAGGCTAAATTTTTTAACATGAATAGAGTATCATTAAAGGATAGGTGGTATTAAATTTGATGAGAATTGGTGAAAGAGTTCATTTTTTATAAAATTTTCAATTTTTTGAAAAATGTCAGTGCAGGCTTTAACTTCTGCAAATTTCGAAATATCGGGGTAAATTGTTTAACATGGATAGAATATCATTAAAGAATAATTGGTATTGAATTTGGTGAGAATTGGTGAAAGGATTTATTTTTTATAAAATTTTGAATTCTTGGAAAAATGTCTGTGCACCCTTTAACTTCCGCAAATTTCGAGATATCGGGCTAAATTTTTTAACATGACAAAGCCTCCTCTGGAAGCTGGAAGCGAAAATTGAAAAACTGTTTGCTCTGAGGAGAGGCTTTGTAAGCGAAATAAAATGACGAGGAAGCAATGTGCATGTTTTTATTTTGCACGATTTTTATGCTTATGACACGACATTTAAAGCACCTGATCTGCCGAATTGAAGATCGATTCGCGAAAGTACATAATCGGCGAAAACACGTGGAAGCACGTGTACCGCTGAAGCGTATCGCCGCTATAAAAAATGCGTTATACGTAAAAAAAAAAAAAAAATCGGAGTAATTCAGCGAAGAAACAAGCAATTAAAATCAAGATGTGTATCTATGTAAATCGATTACTCGACGACTTCCTGCTCGCTTAAACAAGGTCAATGTATTTGTGTTAATTATTTTCGTGAATGTAGATGATGATTTTTCAAAACATATTTATGCATATATATTAACACATTGCATATTGCCCGTTCATATTTCACACCGAGAATGGCTTCGTCTTCAACGGGGAGGCAGTTTAGGTCTTTTTTTTTTTCGGTAGCGGCAGAAAATAGAGTCTCTCTCGTTACGAAACGTCGTCATACACCGCGCTTATATGTGTGCGTATATGTATATAGGGTGGTATAGAAGTATATAATATATCGTAGTCTATTAAAGCATCGCAGCATATTCTCTTTCTCTCTCTCTCTATCTCTCGGCTTGCTGCCGCGCGAGTGACGAAACGCGAGCGAAGAGAGTTACTTTGCTCGACGATGCGAGGCCGGCGGTGTACCTTTGTGACGTCAGGCCGCGTGTTCGATAACCTGGACGGACGTGATTTACATATACATACGTATATAGATACGTGTGTATGTGTGTGTATCATCGCGTACGTCCATGCACGTGAGCGCGCGCCCGTGAATGAGGGAGAAAGGGGCGTGTACATGTGTGTGTATGTGTGGAGAGAGTAAGGTCTGCGAGGGGTAGCCGCGATAGGTCGGGTTGGACGAGAGAAAGAGAGAGAGAGAGAGTATTTTCACAAAGCAGCCCGGTGAATCCGATTATCGGCGTCCCGTGGTGGCTCTGGTTACACGAAGAGGAAAATCGGCGATCTCTCTCTCTCTCTCTTTTTCTCTTCTAGGCTGCTAGGCCGACCGATCATATTTTCTCCCTACATGCTACAACGAGACCAGGACAACAGGTAGAAAGAAACTGGGGCACTTGCGTCTTTTTAAAAAGACTACGATAAAACTCTACAAATTATACTACACAATCTTCTCTCAACTGCGTTTTACTTATATAAAGTAAACATCAGGCTCCTGTATTATTTATTTATTATTTTTTTTTTTTTTAGGTAGATTCTTCGACCAGGAGGATTTGAAAATCGATCCTCGGCGAAAATATCGAGGCACATTTTCAATAATCTTTGAGCGAACGAGAAAGGAAACACATAAAGCTGAATTTACATTTTTCAAGAAACTAATTTTTTTTCAAAATTTTAATAGAATTTTGACTCGGAGCTCGGTTGCAAAGAACGCTGTCGAAAAAAACACCGATCTCTCTCGACGTTCTCGTCGAAAGGAAAAATCGATTTTAAATTCCGGCCGCAGAATCTTTCTCGTTGAAATGTAACGGGATACCCTGGTACGTGCTCGAGAAGATAATGCATCGAATGTGTGCGGCGAAATAACAGCTTTACAGGTGGCAAAGTGAACCAAACGGCTGATCGGTCTCTACAATAAGGTCTTTAATCGTGTGCGATATAGGCCGCACAATGCCCGCAGATGGGATATGTAATAGGAACGGAGAGCTAGAAAGAGAGAGAGAGAGAGAGTAACGGTTGCCTGCAAAATTGATCGCTTTTATCTGCAACAATTGCGACGATAACGAAACAAAGAACTCGCCCGTTTGTGGAGAGACTGATTACCACGCGTATATTCGCAAGCGAGAAGCGGCATAAGTCGCTATCGCGAAGAGAATAAAATGCGCGAAGTCTTAAAAGTAATTAATTTTAATATAGAAGCCCGCTATATAAGAGAGGATAAAATTTTCAGTTGTAAACGAACGATGTAACGTAATATTTTCAATGTCTTGAGAACAAAAAGCGGATAAGTAGCTCTCTTGAAAAATAGAACCTTTTAACTGAAGTGCTGTTTTTTCTACGCATAAAAAATTTATAGTGATTATAACGATTAAATATGTCTCGTCCTAGATATTAAAGTAAATAGAGATGTTGTAGAGGCACATAATACTAAAGCGTGCACGCAGATATAATGCAATTTTGAACTTTCTGCCGTTATTGTCTCCAATTTCTCAATTCGTGATGCGATCGTCATGTGACACGTGACGCATAATTTTGTAATGTGTTTAGCAGTTTATGGCTGTAAAATAATTAAACGCGAAGGCTTCGTCGCGTGTGACTTACGTGTTTTATATATAACTTACTTGATGTGTTTCGGTTGTCAATAATTTCGCTAAAGGCTCGATGCAAAACTGCGTATATCACTTGACAGTCCTTCAAACTTGACAAACATGATGTACTTACTATTTTCGAAGTTACGTTGAGTGGATAGCGTGGGAGATGTCAAAGTTCACCATACCATGTCCAACGTAAAGGGCAATATCTCTAAAGTTGAAATATCGAATTTGCTCGCGTTGCGGCTTTTAGAGAGAATTGCACTCTCTCTCTCTCTCTCTCTCTCTCTCTGTCGCTTATAAAATCTTGTAAAATATAGTTTTCAAAAGATCAAGAATCTTAAAGAATAGAAAACGTAGGACGCTGAAATGGCAAATATAATATATCGACATAGCAAATAATAATAATATAAAATAATGTAATAAATATAAATAAATATATTTACTAGATAATCATTCATGCTCCTCTCTCGTAAGTTAATTATTGTTTAAGCCCCGAGAGAGAAACACTGACAATGACTTTAAACAGTCTTTGAGAAAGAAAACATCATACATATACATAAGTTTTATTTATAGATTTATATGTATTACATTGAAGTACGCTTTCTCTCTCTCATTATCCGTTAAGGGAGAAAAATCTTAAACAGATGAGAAAGGAGGATATCTCCCGATTGTACTGGCACTTTAAGAATAGATTTAGCAGCTTCGTCTTAGTTGCGTTTTATCTAAGCTTAACTTTGCCTTCATATCCGGTTCATTGATTTCAGATGGTCCATCCAAAGAGCGACGAGCAGCGACAAAGGCTCAGCGAGAGCGTCAAGAACATACTTCTGTTTCGCGCTCTAGACGAGGTAAGTTAAACATCTGCGCTTTCATCAGCCGTGATCGCAAACAGGAATAGATATAACAGCGGCTCGGATATTCGCGCCAGCTCGGCGAAATACCAAGAAATCCACGAATAATCTCTTATTAAGAGCAATTGGTTTCGCCGACGAGAGACGACTCGCACATAGTATGAGATAATTATTCCTTTCATCGGCGATTTACGTTGGAGCCAAATAAAATAGTACAGGGATCACTTGGTTATTAGATTAAAATTGAACATGTTATATGAGTTATATATCTTTATTTAATCTTAATATATATTTCATTTTAATATATTTTAATGTGGATACTTTATATTCAAGACTAAATTATATCGAGTTCTACTTGACATCGCATATTAAGAAGTCGCGAGAAGAAGAAAGACTTATCTAAAAATTTTCGTCAAGAGAAAAATCAATTTCATATTGTTTAAGAATCGATCAACTAAGTTTTATTGAGTTAAACGCGTGAAATCTTTTCGTAATACTTATATAAACGCACTTATTTATGTAGAGGCACGTACATTATTGCTGTAATACTCCCGCGATTCCGTATTTGCAATTTTAAAACCGATATATTTTAAATCACGGACGATAATATCTAAAGTGTATTTATATGTGTATAATATTATAAAAATTACTTTTGCAGGAACAAATGGCGGACGTACTTGACGCGATGTTCGAAAAAACCGTTCAACCGGGAGAATTTATTATCCGACAGGGCGACGATGGTGATAACTTTTATGTGATCGAGAGGTATAATACTTTTTCTTTATATATTACAGTTAACGTATCGATAGGCTTCTCCCTTCAACGAGAAGCTCCAATGAACCAAGATGAGAGATGCACACAATCGATTGTGGTGTTTTTACTTAGAGCTGAAAATATTCAAACAATCGTTCAATCAATAATTTTATTATTTAATTGTTCGTTTTATCTCAATTTGAAATTATTCAAGCAAGACAGGGAAATTTCGAATCGTTCTTTACAATTCTTTCTTTCATTTCCGATCGTCTCTAACGATCTCACGTTTTGTGTTTCAGGGGAAAATTCGACGTTTACGTGAAAGATCCCGCCACGACGACGGATAATCGTATTCACACTTACGATAATCGCGGCGCTTTCGGAGAACTAGCCCTTCTGTACAATATGCCTAGAGCAGCCACCGTCAAGGCCATTACGCTTGGCACACTCTGGGCTATGGACAGACAGACTTTCCGACGCATTCTCCTTAAATCCGCGTACAGGAAGCGTAAAATGTACGAGACTCTTATTAATAAAGTGCCGATGTTGAAATCTCTCGAGGTAAGTGTTATTACGCAGCTTTTCTACAATCGCTTTTTTTTTTTATCGATTATGTTTGCGTTGTAAAATCTTAAATAACTCTTGAGTTTTTTTTTTCATATTTCGAGGTCAAATAAAATTATAAATTACTATGTGCCTTCTTCTATTTCTTTTTTTATTTTAATCAGACGAGATTGAAATACAATAAAAGAGAAAAAGTAATATTTAAAGTGGCAGTTCTTATACGATATTTGCGCGATATTAAACGCGAAAATTCTTTTTCAGGCTTACGAACGTATGAATTTAGCGGATGCCCTTGTACCGAAACAATATTCCGATGGCGAGCAGATAATCAGGCAGGGTGATACCGCGGACGGGATGTACTTCGTCGAGGACGGCATCGTCAGGATTACTATACTCGGCGAGAACGGCCGTGAAATTGAGGTGCGCATTTATATTATATCATACATTAATTCAGTTCCCCGCGAAACGATCCGATTACGACTATGATGAGCGCCAAGAAAATTCTGTCCTTACTTAACCCAGTACCTTTAATATCGCGCAGATTAATCGTGTTCCGGCTGGCGGTTATTTAGGCGAGTTGGCACTCGTGACGCATAAACCACGCGCCGCTTCGGCCTACGCTGTAGGGGACATCAAACTGGCATGTAAGTTCATTTCGTTATCGCCCACGAGTTTAAAATTGATAGGTAATCAATAACATTGCGCCAATAATATAGTTACGAATATTGATATTTACAGTTATATTACTGTTATTAGATGTCGAAAGAGAGATAGCCGCGATATTTCTACGTCATTTAACATCGTTTTAAAATCTTCTATTTATATTAAACTTTTAATCGATTTTTAAATCGATTCACGTAAATATTTCGTTTTTATTTAAAGTAATTATTTTATTTATTCAAATCATTACTTACAGTCTTGGACGTTGAAGCTTTCGAGCGTTTGCTCGGCCCGTGTATGGAACTTATGAAACGTAATATTGACGATTATGAAGATCAGCTAGTCAAAATATTCGGCAGCAAAACCAACATCTCCGACATTCGATGAATTGTCTCCGGCAGAGACATATCGACGCGCTGCTGTACTAAAGGACGCGACACTTTCGTACAGTATATAATGTATAACGTGCACAAAAGAGAACTTGTACCACCTACTTTTGAATCTCATCCCGCGTATTTCGAGTATCGTCTCGAGAAGGTCAACTGTTTCGTATGACTGTTCACTTTAGACGTATACCGATATTAAGATTCGTCGACGATAGTTACCAAGTTTATACCTACGACACACATTGAACAAAACTATAGGCTGCTCGACTATGTATAAACAATAACAATGGTATTTAATAATTATTCTCTAAGACTGTACTAGATCAAAAAGAGGGTACGTTAGTGCATTCTATTACACGCTCGATCGTTTGCGAAATGAATATCTCCATTTATTATAGTCTCAGTGAAAGATTGGAATATAATACTTCGAGATCTAGGACAGCATTATTAGTACGCTATTAATTATTATATTAATATTCTTATCCCTGGAATGACTTAACAGTTTATCTCGATGTATTCAATCTAAGCATACACGCGTCGCGTATATTTCCTCGCATTATCCATTTTTTAAACAAATACGGCAGTTACGTTTAATAATCCACTAGGAGTCTAGAATATTCGAAATTGAATGCTCTTCTAACACATTTTTCTTCTCTCTGGCAAAGATGGATTACAAGGAAAACGACCATAATGATCGTATAGTGACATAAATCTTATAAAGTTTCTATGAGATACCTACATATGCATATCACTCCTTTTCGAATATAATGAAAGTAACATTGCCACTATTAAACTTAATAAAAATAATATCCTTTGATACATCTATTTAATAACATAATATCTTAATAAAAAATATCAGGTTAGACAATCAAGATTTTATCTATAATTTCCAAGTATTAATACGCACTCTCTTTGTGAAATAAATACGCACATATACACGAACAAACATCGCACATAAACGCACATGCTTGTATGTAGTAAAATCATTGTTAAGCGCAACATTTAATCCACAATATTATTTTTTTTTTTTTATATTTTTTTTCTATAAATTTATGAGTTTTATATGAATTATTTTATTATACATATGAATATGTATTTTATGTTGAAAACAAGATATTTAGAATTTATTGCAATTTTATATATAATTATTCATGATTAAATTAGCGTGCAGTATATCAGATGAATAGTTTTTCTACTCAAGAAAATATCAATTATTTTCTAAATTACAGATTAAGTTTTTTTAAAGTGAAAAAAACGCGTATTAATTACGTCTGACATTTTTATAGTATTTAAAAACTTCTATAATACTACAGACGTAAAAAATCGGTGTAAAGGGTACTGATTTATATATCCGCTTTTTTATGGATAAAGATTTATAAACGCCAGAATCTTACAAAACGCATTCTATTTCGGATATAAAACACTCTCATTAAATGCATAGGAAGACTAGCGAGCCTTAAGATTGACTTAAATGCGCGGATATGGCAATGCAAAACAGACATATACATTTGAACATGCGTACGATATAAAAGATATACTTTCTTTTACAATAATACAGATGTAAATGCAAAAATAAGAGAGAAAAGGGATAAGATTCTCTAATTGTTTTTTACATATTTTAACGTAAATGCCATCATTCGCTAAAGATTATGTGAATTTTGCCGTGAAAAAGATAACCGCGCGTTTAAGTCAAGCGTTAAATTCAATGTGTTTTGCTGTTAAAAATCATGGTAACTCGAGGATCGATTATATGAGAATCCGTCAACTTATTTTTACTACGTGTGTATATGATATACACGTTATACATGTATGATATACGTCTATCATCATTATAAGAGTCCAGTCGAAAAATGATTCGATTATTGTACGAACAAGAGTTGCGAATGCTAGTCACTTTTTTATGATCGTGCTATCGTCACATATCTTCTTGTGACAATTACGCTCGATCAAGAAAAATAGAAAAAAGGAAAGATACGTTTTATTATGGTAAATCGTATATTTACTACTGTGACTGAGAAACTCAATGAAGCGACAGAGCTTTTTAAATAATATCACAATCGTGTGAGGGAGAAAGGGGAGACTAATATGAGAGTGAAATAGAGAGAAGATAACATAGGAATTGTTAATAACAATTGTGTTATCAATTACTCTTTGTTTATGGCACGTACGACGTCTTGCACTGTTGTATTTCTTTCTTTTTTCGTATACAAAAACTTTTCTTATAAACAATTTAATTGAGAATTATTCTCAAGAAAATAGTTAAACGTGTTAAATGGATTTGACTAGACATCAATAATCTGGAAAAAATTTACACTTTAACAATTAAAGTTTTTTTTTTCTTTGTAATGTCAGCATCTTTAGTCTTCCACTGTATCTCCAGGCTGTGATATTATTTTCGACTGAGTATTTCATTCCCTTTCTTGTAGTTTTTTCTACAAGATGAATAAAAGAATATCATAATTGTTATCGAATTCGCGATACATCAAACTGGTGAATTTATTTTCAATGACTAAACCAACGTATCTTGTAAGTGCGACAAAGATTTCAATGGATTAGTAAAAGTGACTTGATTATCGTTGGATACGAGGAACTCTAGCCGTATCGCAAAAGAAAAACAAAAAAAAAAATAATAATTCGCATATTGAATAAACTTGATACGCATAAGTACTTACTTGTGTTAGCTTACATTTAATGAATTAAATGTAAAGCATTAAAAGTTAGAAAGTCTGTCCAATTCACATTATGCTGTATGTATCTATCATGTGATTTGTCTTATATGTTGCGTGTTGTCTTTCATGTGCGAGTGTGGATGTGGATATGCGCGTGTGACGATCGAGCCAGTAATTTGTTAATTTATGTTGCTATTATATCGATAGTTTACACTCTTCGATAGTTGTATAATTCATGTTATCGTCATTAAAGATAATGCAATATACCGAAATATGTCCTATGGATAAATATCGTAACAGTAGTATGCCTTACTGTGCCGCACACTGGATCTTCGCCTTTTTACTTCTAAAGAGGGGAAGATCTATGAAGAATCGAAGATATAGATTTCGTTATATATCCGCGATTTACACTGCTGGATAAAATTATTAAAATATCTTATTAAATTTGTGTAAATATATACGAGAACTTTTTTCTCTATAATTTTTCTTATTATATATAATTTATAATTTTGGCCACAATTCCATTATCTTCGTTTAAGTTAAAAATCATTTACATTATTAGTTTATAATCAATATATGAATCAATTTGGTACGCATGTGATAATAAGTTCGTGTCAGAAATTGTTTCAATATTTTATCATTAAACCAGCAGTGTATTAGTTATGTATTCACATGTGCTACATCCAGCAATGGGCATTCAATTTTCCGTCTTGTCAGTCTTCAAGCAATTGAATCAATATGAAATTTCGAGTTATTTTGAATATTATTGAAAATAGGATTTTTGATTAATCTTGACTATATCTTGAAAAGAATCTTCTCTTGTTTTAATAACTTTTCTTAAAAAAAAAAGTCTGAAGGAAGTCTGGACATTCTTGGATATTGAACGGAACATAAATTATGTATCAATGTTTAAAAAAGCACATTTTTTATTTGCATTTATGAATTATTATAATTAAATTACCATTGTCATTGTCATAAAAAATATTATGCAGAGAGTATAATCTTATTTTAGATCTCAAATTTAAATAATATTTCGCGTGTGCTGTATCCATTTACAATTTTTAAAACTTTTAACAAACATAATACAAATATGAATATTTCAAGAGACTTCTTAAAACGAGACCTTTGTAGTTGCTGTTTATCAAAATCATTTCAAGAGTTTTCAATTTTAAATAATATTTGAAATGACTCGAAACTCTCTTCCGTTGTGTTTGCAATGATTCGGAGCGCTTGACTCAGCCCACCCGCTAAATTGCAATTCTAGTCCAAAGTGACATGTGACATAATAGAGAAATGTTTCCGACCAAGTAGCACGTATTGAAGATCAGAGAATTGATAAATTGATCGCGATAACAATATTTATAACTGGCTAATTAAGTGCCAGTAACACTTATTTCTTTTACATGTTTAATTTAAATTTTTCCTTATGTGCACGTGAAATATTTCTTTAATATATTTGATTTATTAAATGTAGCAATTATGTATTATCAATGTTATTGTGCACGTAACGCAATGCACTTTGCATCGGACCAATTTCAAAGAGCAATTAAGCTTGCGATTATTTTTTCTTCTTTCTACTCTAATATTCTTTCTCTCATCGTATGGCTGATATGAATTCTTCCCCGATGTACACCCGTTATACCGAGTTCTAAAATGTTACATTTTAATAACTTTACTGCCTCTGTGATTTTTAAATTGTATTATTTTCACGAATACGTGCATGGCAGATAAATTATACGAATTTAGTCCTAAACGTGGCTCGAGAAAAATCTGACAAAATAATCCTTCAATTAATTCTCAAGTCACATGCTTTAATGCTAATACTAAGAGAAGCAATACGAGTCTTAAACTCGATTGCGTGCCGACAATCGTCCGGTGTCATCGTCTGAGAACGCTTGTATGATTGAAAGTATCTTGTGGTAGTCTTATATATTTTATCTTTCTTTCTTTAGAATAATCTCTCATTATCTTGTTAAAATATCGACACTTTCTTCGTTCTTGATTCACATACTGCACTTTCTTTTCCCCACACTTGAATGCCGATAATATTACTATTTTACTGCAAGAGAAAATTATATGCTTCTCTAAATTTCTTTAGAAATGGCATAATTTATCGCGTTGCAGACGTTATGTGCAGTTGGAACAGAACGAAAGGAAAGAGTATGCAGTTACGGGAAATTGGGACGTTCGAGAACCCAGAAGTATATATATGTCTCTCTTTTGTTGCGTGTCCCAGTTTTATGTCCGATTTTATATTATATTTTCGAACCAAAGCATGATAAAGAGAAATCTCTCTGATTGTATTGTAAATGTTGAATAAATTTAGAATATATAATTAGCCTTATATAAAATGTGTGTATACACATATTGCTCGAAGCGTGACGTATTATATATAGCGGATATAACATCAGAATGGTCTCTGTGTTCCGTTAGTGATGTAAGAAAAAATTAATCTTGTTTTTTGTTGAGTTATACGTATCGTTTGAAACAAACAGTAAAATTGTTAAGTATTTCCTATATTTTGTAACCCGTTCAATAACATATCTATCTAACATGTTAAAAATTCTTATATCTTCAGAGAAGAAGAAACGATAAAAAAAGAAATCCGCATATAGATGCGTAGTCTTCTTTTTAAATGCGAGATAATCGAAGTAGACTCGTTTTACGCAACAACATTTCGTAAAGAATTTTTTTTATCGAACTTTTGGATCTATCGTTATTATCCAAAATTTCTTGTACCTTATATTGTCGGATAATATTATTTGAAATGCGACCCTTCCCTGAACTGTATATTTAAACTGAATTGATTTTATACATATGCATGCAATAGGGACGTTTCTAGTTATAACAGAGTGTTGTAAATTATACGAATTAGTAATGTACGTACTTAATGCCCCTTGTTTCGCAATGTGTTATGTTATAGTATTGTATAATGAAAGATGCACATATATATAGGGTGTTTCCATATAGATAGGATACAGATCGATACTATTGTATTCTTTGTCAAAATGTAAGCTTTTTCCTTCGGCAAAAAAATTTGCGAATTGTATTCTACCTATATGAGACACTCTGCATGTGTGTGTGTACATATAATATATATATATATATTAGGTATATATACACATATACATATATATATATATATAATAAAATCAGTATATATGTCGACACTCGTTTCCAGCTGGTCTGATCGGGTATCATTTTAATTATATAAATTGTGTTAAAATCTGGCGGCGATGCGATTCGGAGTAATCGAGAGCCAAATGCAATGCAGACGGATCGATTTATTGTATGATACAATGCAAATGTATGTCCATATATAATTTGTTAATATATATCGAGAGGTAAATAGATTTTACTAAAGATTTTCTGTATGCTCTGTGAATGCAGCACAAGTTTATCTACGTATAATACATAGATATAACCCGGAGATATATATAATCGAAGGACGAAGGGTAAATTAAACGGAGTACTTGCGCACGCTTTGTAATATAAATCTGTAAGATGCGCGATCACATGTCGTCCATGCGTCTTTTTTCTTCTCTTTTTTAATAATATAAAATTCATTTATATGAAATAAATCTCTCGCCGCAGAGACACTTCCAATGCTTGTAATAATTATGCGTTATATGGAGCAAGAAGGCAATCGATAACTAAAAATTAGAGATATCCGTGCTCATTTTTACATGCCTGGAATTTAACGATACTTAACAGCTAATCACGCTCCTCATACGATTGTAGATCATTTCTGATCGTCACAGATTGATTCGCGTGCAAATGATAACGTCTTCGCAAACAGATATATTCTCGTCTATAATTACTTAATCACTCGTTAGAATCAATGATTGGAATTTTATTTAAATCTTAATTTAGACTTAATTTAAATTATTATTTATTATGCTAATGTTTCTTATAGATATTCTATAACTAAATATGTTTTTTATAACGTTTCATTTTCTGCTCGATAAGAAATCGGAAAAAGATTGAAAGTAAACTTCTGGCGGTAAATACATATCTCTGTACGTGCAATAACACATACTGATTTGGCACGCGCAGCCATATCGAAAAGTCAGGATTAATCGAATAATCTTATTCATACATACAGCTGATGTAATTATTATTTTCTCATACATAGGATGTCGTAGAAAATTGGACGCTGTTTTAAAAATTATAGTGCGCGTGTTCTGTTTATTAGAACAAGGATATACTTCCAAATTAGGTCATGTCACAATCCTTTTTATGGCCATCCTCGTGCAGTCTATTGTTCATATATATATATACACACATCTCAGGCTTCACGATTCATTCAGCTCTAAACAGCTTCCAAATTCTTTCTGCGATACCCTTACGTGGACACGTCTCGTCGCGTATAAGCTTAACTCGGATACGTTCATGTACGTATTTTCGTGATGGAGCCTAAGCGCGGTTGTAAACCAAAGTCAAGTCTCAGATACATACAATGAAAAATAAAGATTTGGTGTCTTTCCCTTTACGCTTGATCACCATTTTTGTACACAAGCTTTTCTTTTTTACACACAGTATCACTGTTCAATTAAACAGCAGCGTTTAAATATAACTGTATCTCACGAGCCGTGATTCGAATATCATGCATTTCAGTACGAAAGAAAATTTTGTACAAAATGTACAGAATATATGAAGCTATATATTACATTTCATCAAGAAGCTTCTCGTATCGGATCCGCGAGGCAACCACCGCTCATCGTGTTGCTCTCGTATACTCGCTCGATCGTTTTGCAAACATCGCCCGAATAATTCTATTTTTGTCGCAAATGCCGCGCGATACGCTATACAAAATCTCATATAAAATAAACGAATGCGAGTTTATATCCGAGCAGCGAACATAATACACACTTGGTATATAAATAGATAGCATAATAAATCGTGAATATAATAAATGAATGGACCTGTACAGAAAGAGTCTATCAGTCTATCGTATTTGTTATTATCATTATTATTATTATTGGTAATTCTCTCAGGTTTACGCACTCGTAATTCTCTCGCAATTCCATAAATAATTGTTTTCACAAAATACAACATTCGCGAGTGAGTGTTACGAGAATTGATCATTACGAGAATTACCAATTCCTTTTATCACCTAGAGGAAAGAGACTCTTAAAATTTTAGAATTAGGTAAATCCATTCGCGTACATATATTGGAAAGTTTAGAAATATATAAATATCTTTGAAAAGATCCTTTTGTGTGTTATCTATTTATATTTATATCAAACGTATATCAGACAACTTGAAGTGTTAAGACAATGTGTCTTGTGACATGTCTATTCCTTGATTACAAGGAAATTTAACCGCTAATTTCGGATTTACCTTTTCTTCTCAGATTGAAAATTACAAAAAATATCCTTTTTATTAGCTGTTAACAATTATATATATCAATTTGCAAAATAAATTCATCGATAATATTAACATCATTCTCTTCTTGACATTATTAGATAACAATAAGTAATAGACTTTACACGTCGCTACGAACGATCATATCAGTTCTTTGATGTACAACTAATTCTAAAAAAGCTAATGCTATCAATAAAGACCAACTAATTTGCTCTTGATAGGCAGGACTTTGCGCGTTATACATGTTTCTTAATTCTGTCTTTATTAATACACTCGGCAGGCGTTCTTTGGTTTCCATTAATCTATCGCTCTCTTGCAGTAACTTTTCCATCACATATTTTGTAGCTATAGCTTCGTTACCAACTACAAGTCCATAGATTTTTGGTAAAATACGCTGGCGCAGTATAAAGACATTATTTATTACAAATTCTGCGGTACCTGAAAAGTTTATAACAATACTTTTATGTTGTATCTTTTTTTTGAAATATATAATAATGTTACTAATACTAGAATGATAAAAATGATTATTTCTTTTATGCAATCATAGTTGTAACTAAAAACCTTTCAATTTTCATTTTAATCTTATTATTCAGCAATTAATTTTTTTGCTTTATATAAAAAGAAGGAAACCATTTTTCTTCTTTCTTCAATAACTATCATGAATTTTAATCGTTCTAGTATTCATATAACTGTCCATGTAGAAAATAATTTTCATACTGTTTAATTTGCTATTTGATGTTGCTAGGTATGACAGAATGATAGCGGTTATCACAGACTCTTGTACATAAGCTTGATAAAGCGGCCGGTCCTTGTGATAGCCCATATTACTAACAATCTCCTGCATTATATATCGATCAGCTTTTGGTAAATTTGCAGCTATTGGTAATGTCTAAAAAAATAAAAATAGATAATTGATGATTTCGAATATTCATTCCACAATTGATAATCAATTTAAAATCCTTAAACAAATGGCTTTTTTATTAAATTATAATTATATAATAATACTATAATTGTGTTTATATTTTTTGTGATATTTACTATTTGAAGTAAAGAATGGATATTTTCCTTGAACCTATTTTGTGGAAAGCACTTATAGCTCCATTGTAATACTTCGCAATCGCGATTTAACAATGACCAACTTATCATATCTGATCCTATGTATATGCCTAATACTGTATTAACATCCTGCAATATTTCATATAGACAGAATTAATCACACATGGATTAGAGAGAAAAGTTATTAATAATATTTATAATGCAATATTTCAATTTGAAAATTAAGTTTGATTTCTTGTACCTTCTGGTTAATAGTTTTTGGTGTTAGGACTAAACCTCGTGTGATCTTTCTTGGACTCTTTTTCTTACCATATATGATCGACTTGTAGAACTTGTATAGACATTTGTTATTTATACCCTTAACTTGTAATAACTCCTCCAATGAGTTATATGGTCCATTATTTGAGCGATGGTGTTCTAAATTCTGTGCACGCTTTTTAGTAATGGAATACCTTAGCATAAATATAATTTCAATGATAAAAAATATATAATCAGAAATTTACCATTACGTTTGCAAAATAGGAAATTTTTTTATACAAATAATCAACTTACTGCAGTAGATCATCTGTGCCTTTGACATTTATCACTTGGAGTATTTTCTCTTTATCTTCTTTAGAGAGAGAATCTATATTTACAGTATCAGTACACATACTGTTTATTTTAAAAGCAATTGTACTTGATCCCCATTGTTTGTAAATCTGCAAATTGTCATAAAAAATAGAAAACATTAAACTTCGGAAAAGAAAATTTCTTAGAGAGAAATCATATATAATAAATATATATGTAATAGAATAAAAATGTAGGATGCATTTTATTAAATTGATTTTTAATTGTAAAATTTTTTTCACGTTGTCTGCCTACATAAAAATTATTAACCTCTATGATATATTACAAACTATTCTCTCTTATCATACAACACATAAGATTTACCTGCGCTTTTTGGGTCTTAATAAAAGTATTAAATAACTTTCTTAGCATTATATTCCACATTTTCTTTATTATATTATAACAAATTACACATGGATATAAGATATATCTATGGATATACCGGTCAATCATGCATTGTTACTTTTTGTCCGATTGACGTGATAAAATATATTAATTATGTATTCAGTTATATCAATCATTAACAATTGTCATATCTGACAATTTATACTTTGTTTATAGCGTGTTATAAGTAAATATTTACACATAAAAAAATTATTTAAAGTATGTTCTTTTTAACAAAAGAAGAAAAAGAGTTCTTTATACTGATTGGTCAGTCGAACAATTCATCAAACGTAACAATTGGCTACTGGATAGAGAATATCTGGAATTTCGAAAATGGCTTGCATCAGCAGCCAATCAGAACACTCGACAAGATCTCTATCGTACGTCGTACGTCAAGAAAAATATTACCTTAAGAAAACTTTGTTATCTTAAGGTTGGCAATGCTGGGTTCGGGTGATTTAACTGCAAAATTCAAATATTTGTGTACCTGATATCGCGTTCTACAGGTGGAAATTTATTTCTCATGAAATTCGTTTCATTGCTCCAAGATGGATCAGCGAAGAACTTTAACGTTGAAGCCGAAGAGAGTTTCGACCGGTGACAGTCACATTCCCAGGCCTCGTTTCAGAAATTCCTCCAGCGATCGAGCGGGATCGACTGGCAGAAAATCGTATTTGAAGTCTACAGGTACAGAATTACATTTAAAAGTATTCAAATTTGTATCATCTCTCAATCAACTGAATAATAATAACATGATGAGGATAAATGTTCCATATACAAGTTTCTTTTTTGATTTTTTTAAACTCTCTTATTTTATGTATTTTGAGGTATAAATATTGAATCTACATGAAAAAATTGTTGCTCTCGTTTTATTTTTATATTCATTTTAGTGTGTTGACTTTATGGAAGTATATATATGTAAAAAACATTTATTTTTAAATCTTTAAATATTATATCTTATTATATATTATATTTATATGTATAGGTATAGGTAAACCTTCTCTACATCTATTGGGGACTCCAGTTACACCTGCAAGAGTTTCTACTAGGCTTAATGTGCCAAGTTCAGCGCGTTCAGAAGGACATCATACGGTATTACCAATAGGCCGTTCGCCATCCGGCGATCGTGCCAGCAATGCGGGTGCTAAGGGTCCCAGAAAGGACACAAGGCCCTTGGGTGATAAAAGTTATCAGATGGACTTGCTGAACAAGATAGACAATTTTTTTCACGTGAATCAGCGCTCAAACATGCTCAACAGCAATGGCAGTCTGAAGCCAATTACATTGAATATTTTCGTAGAGGTTTCTAATTTTCTATTAAAGCTTCTTGACATCAAGCAAGATCACAACAAAATCACAACAAAAACTTACATAGAGGAGATTCCGAAATGTGCAAAGAAGCTACATTATCCTGGTATGATAAGCAAATCGTGGTTAAAGACTGCCAATGTACCGCATTCATGGCCCAATGTCCTTGGATGGATTGGCTGGTTGGTAGAAGCATGCCAAGTGAGAGAATTCGCATTAAACAGGTACCAATTGGAAACTTTACCATTCGTAGGAACAGAGCAACAAGCTCAAAGTAACAAATTGGAGTTTATAGCACTGTTGGAATGCTATAAAGCTTGGAATGATGAAAAACTCGACGAGGAAGCGGAATTGCTGGAGAAATACCGACAGGACATAATAAATCAGAAAGGCATTTCCGAGGAGGATATAGTCCAGGCACAAAAAGAATTGGACGAAAATAATTCGAAATTAGAGATAATAGAAGAGGAATCACGGGAAATTGACGAAATAGTTAAACATTTGAGTGAGAAATTATCGTCTTTGCGTGACAAAGAAGAAAAACAATTAGATAGTATTAAGGCCACAGAAGATTATATAAGAAGGATTTCTGCTGAGACGAATCAGTTAAATGCAGAACGCGACGTTTTGAATGAGCAGTTTCGAATGGGAAAGATACAACACAAAGAATTAATTTCGATTGTAAAAGACCAACCCATGTCTAAATATGAAAAAGAAAAAATTGTCAAAGAATGCACAGAGATACAAAACTATATACATGGATTTGATGAGCATTTGACAGATTATCAAAAGGAACTATACTCTTTAGATATCAAATTTGCAGCTTCCAATAATGATCTCAATAAAGCAGTATTGGCATATAATAAAGAGATTTTTATGCATACTGATAACGATATTGATGTGAATTTTGATGAATTAAAACTCCCGGAGAAAGGATTATTAAATCCACAGATAATAGATATTATGAAAGAAAAAGTTGCTTTAATGGATTCTTTCAAAGAATTATTAGCAAAGCAATGCAACGAAGTAGACTCTCGTATTTGTTCTGAGACTATAAAACTGGAGAAACTGCAAGAAGAAATTAAATTTTTTGTAGATGAAGATAAATTAAAAGAGGAGAAATCTTGCATCGATAAAATGAAGATAGATATGAAAAATAAGAAAATTGAATTGACAAAACAGATAGAAGTCCTGAAAAATGAAATCAAGAAAATGCAGGATACGATGTCAGATATACAAGCAATAGATCTTGAAATAGAAGAGGCCAAAGATAAATTAAACGCACTAACTAGAAGGCAAACATTTTTAGAACAATCTGCCGAAGAGTTTTTCGACAAGTTTTATAAAATTATTGGTGAACATAGAAGCGAACTTTATGATATCTTAACAAGAAAAAAATGAAAATTGAATCTCTATGTAAATATTCTTATAGTAATATGTTCATTACTCTTCCTCATATTATTTGGAATATATAATCTATTATATATGTATTATACCGCACATATTTGGTTGTATGATCTTAGTAAAATGTGTTACAACTAATAATAAAAAGTAATAAAACTAATAATAAAAGTAAAATGATAATAAATACAAAAATGTGTCAATTTAAACAAGGAATTTAATAAATACGTTTTTCGTGGAAACTCTCTCATATGTCGTTAACAAAATAAATGCACTTTCTTATTTAATATTTCTTTTTTCTTTCATTTTTTTTTTTACAAAATGATGCAAATTTTGGTATGTAAAATATTTTTATTCTATTAGCTCTATGTGTTATGACAATATGCAACTCGTATTTTTTTCTTTTCCTTTTTTGGATAAGTGTTAACATGATCTGACAAGTTACACAGTTAAAACATACATCCTTTAACTCCACGATGTACATGATACATTAATAATTTATGAATAACAAAAAATGTTAACGAATACTATTTATATTACATACAAGAGATGTTGCATTCCAATAAAATATCCATCTTTCGCGAGAGTTATACTTTACAATATAATCGCGTTTCATTGATTCTTAATTATATTATGAGTAATTGATCTTCTATTGAGGAGTAACTTTCTAATTAGCTTGCTGTACAATTTTACTTTAAACTTTTGAACCTGAATTTTTATATGAATTTTTAAAAGTCGTTCTATTTAAAACATATGAGACATATGCCATATATATAGCAGGAAAAAGTGCTCCAACTAAATATAGGAATGTGTGTTACATGTATGTTCTCTATTCTGCGCATTGTATTATCATTATTATTTACTATAAATATTATGCTTTATCGATGATAAAATTATGATCATTTATGACCGATATTTTCAAAGTCACTCCTCAATTATACCTGAATGTATCATTTAAGTTATAACTAGGTCCCGACTGCTGTTTTTGCTTATTTTAATATGTACATATGAAACATAGTAATTAACGTGCTATATTGGTTAAAATGTATTGTGCAATACTTAATATCATGGATTTTAGTAATTTGCGATTTCTTCCAATTCGTTTTTTTGCTACAAATACATTTTTAAGTAATTTAAATAATTCCTAATTTGTTTAGCTTTACATAAGATAAAATTAACAAACAAAGAGAAAGATTTAATTTATTATTTATATATTTGTGTGTAATTTTCAAAATTAACACAATTAGATGATATTAACTTTTACATACAAAAATATATGATATTACATTTTTGCATTAATTTTATCTTATGTGGAGCTTTATTGCATATTGCCTTAATTTTACATATACGTGGATCATGTATTGTATAAATTTTCTTATTCATGGGACTTACAAAGGATTTAGCCCATATGCATATATGCATTTATTTTATTAATATCTCTTTCTTTCCATATTTAATAAGAACTGTCTTATTGCAAACTATGAGATCATTGTGCTGAGTGTATGCTATTGTGTTGACTATTGCGAAAGGATTGATGTATGCTATTTGCATCCAAGCATGATTATACATGAATAACAGTTGATGGATTCATAGATGTTTTAGAAGAGTGCACATATGTACACACATACATACACACGTGAAAATTAAGAAATATTCTACATACACTTAATAATTTTGTACTAATGTTTCGCGTTAACTATAATGAGTAATGAACCACATTCGATTATTCTCGAGTGAATTAGAAGTCTAAATTTTACTATTCTCGATATTGTCTATATACTACAAAATTCAACAGAATTATCTCTGAAAAATTTTACACTTCTTTGACATAAAAAATACCGTTTGTACATATAATAATGTATATATATAATTATTATAATAAGTTTTATGTAATATATAGTCACCACACAGGATTGGATTTAACTCTTTGTTGTCTATAGGCACACAAATAGTGTTGCTTGAAAGAAGGAGATTATCAGCATATATTTTTATATATTTATAATTTATTAAATAACTTTCATATAAGTGTAACAAAAATAAATAATATACATATCATATACAATAATAAAAAACAAGATAAATATAAATAAATAAATTTTGACATTAATATTATATTAATTATCATATTGTAAATAAAGTATCTTGTATTCTTATACCACACATCTTATATTCTTTATTGTTCTCTCTCTCTCTCTTTCTGGTCAATGACACGTCGCGTATAGTAGACTTAATTTTATTATTAAAATTATATGTTATTATTCATAATCAAGTCTGCAAAAAATTTTATTATTAATAAAAAATAAAAGAATTCTCTTATATTAAAATATCTTTTCTTTAAAAAAATTAAAATAAAATAAAAAATTTTTTATATTAAGTAAATAAAATTATATTTACCGTTCTTTTGAAATGTGGTATGATAAAAGATCAACTTTTAGAAGATTTACTTTATATACTTTATATTTTTTTGTTAATGGTAGTTTTTGGGAATTTGCCACTTTAGAATCCATACCTGCAGTGATTATTGGAAAAATCCAATCCTGATAGTAACACTACTTAATACAACTCTGTTTTCAAGTGAAATTTCAAAGCAAATAAAAACTAGGCGTTTATCTAATTATATCTTCAATTTTCTAAAGTAACAAACAAATTTTTACAACCTGAATTACGTATAGGTCTTCTTATCTCTCGTTTATTATTTAAATTATTCTGTTAGTATACGCAGCTTACTTAAAGTATTTGTCATTATTTCGATGCAATCTTAAATTGTAGGAAAATTCAACAGGTTGCCGCTCTGCACATTCTTTACGTTTTATACTTACGGATTATAAAAATCAGTATGCAAAATAGATAATGATCTTTTTGTCACATTGTATGTACAACTGGCAAGTTGACGACGAGATATCTTTTAATGTGTAAATACTCAATTCACCAGTTTTCATATTTAAATTTAGCTCACCTTGCTTCAGCTAATTCTCATAGAGAATTTGTATGTTCGTGGTTTCATCATCAGTTTTGTAATGCTCACAAATTTTAGAGAAATGTGGATAGATAATTTAGCGTGATTAGTTGTTACTCTAATTGTTATTGGACGTGTTCGGAAAAGGCGTGTTTGATGTGTAGTCGATATGCAGATGCGCGTGTGGTGTCTTACGGACGCCATAGGACCCCCCTGGTTGTAGGAAGGCCCCCCCCCTCTTCTTGGTTTTCGTTTAAAACCGAAACAGACTGATGGACGTAATATTAATTGCAAAATGATCTAAATCTTGATTTTTTCTATCTAATTGCAAAATTAAATTATTTATTCTGTCCATTAGATTTGAATCATCGCAAAAAGTGAGATACATTTTTTTTCATATCTCCTTCTACAATCCGGGCATGTTCTTGAATGTTGAAGCCATTCTCTTAGACAATCGTGATGGAATGCCCAATTTAAATGCTTCCATTTATTACTACGTAATAGCTTGATGGAGGAAACAGATACTGAAGAAGTATTAAATATATTAAGCATGCCACAGAATATGATAAAAACATATTTATTGAAAATAAAAAAGAATATGAAGATTGATGGGAAAAAAAGAAGATGAGAAATAGACAATTATGTCTACAAATTATACAATTAGAAGAACAATTCAATAATAGAAGTTCCTGTAGTCATATTAAGAGTCCAACAAGCAATTATTCACAAAAATCTATTCGCAGAAAACCAAAATTGGTTTTATTGAAGACTAATGATGAAGAAATGAAATATCTTATTGAGGCATTCAAAAAGATACACATTTAAAAAAATCAAGTGTTGCATGCCTCTCGCCGCTGCCGGCCTCTCTGTGCCAGAACAATCGGAGCACGCAAACCATATCGACCAGCCGGGTACACCGCGGCGTACAGATAGGTCCGACAACCACCGCGGAGAAGGAGACGCAATCCGACTCCAGCGACTGGGAGACCACTAGCAAACGCGGGAACGCAGACCGAGGAGCAGGCACAGCGACCAAGCATCTCCCTCGAGGAAGCACATTGGGGGCCAGTGAAGTCAGCGAGTCAGCCAACAATTACTTGGCGTGAACGCCGAAGATAAATTCGAGATACCAAACGGCCCTTTTCAGGGCCACCATACAAATCAAATGTAAAGCATTCCGCAAACAGAGTAACAATCCTTCTCAGGGCCCTAATGGAAGCACGATCTCCTCTAACGTCGAGTAACGCCTTTTCCGAACACGTCTAATAAGAATTAGAGTAACAACTAATCACACTAAACTGGTGTGGGCGGCAGTAATGGCGCGATAAGTTTTTCAACTTTTTTCATATCCATGATCTTGAATATCCATGACCATTGAAACTGTCTTCGAAAAGACTTCAATCGTAGGTGTTCGAAAATGCATGATCCCATTTAAAAATGTGAAGATGACCTTCAAATCTCCTAAGCACCTCCAGCTGGTGAAGCGAGGGGGGGATTTAAGGCGGTGAAGCGAGGGGGATTTAATCATCTCCGCAAGATGTCCCCCTCGATACCACACAACTTTTACTTCAAACATTTTTTCCTATCTCCAAAAATGTAGGAGTTATTCAGGTGGCCGGTCTTAGGTAGACTCACCCTATATATATATATATATATACTTACTCAATCGGCACGTGAGAAATATTTTTATGTATGAAACTTGCCTTTTATACTATACAATTAACGGATCAATATTCAGTAGAAGTTATGAGCGTTTGCACAATTTTAAAATATATTAACGCATATAACGCATTATATATAATAAAATAATAGATGCTAAATCATAACAATGATTAATTTTACAGACAAAATTGACTGTTGTCATTGTGATTAACATGTTCTGTGCCAAACCGATTTTTGGTCTCGACTTTCCGTTCACGTCGCGTTGGTCACCTCACGTTATCGAGGCTAATAACTTTGCTTATGACATGTAATATTTATAAGATTGCGAACATTATTGTTACATCATCGCTATAAAATTAAAAGAAAGAAAAATAACAGCAATAGGATCAAAGTACAAACAATTAAATGGGAATACTGACAGATAAGAGCCAAGGCGCGGGTAGTGGTGTGCAAACTTATAATTATTAAATTTTTATTAACAAGAGTACATTAAAAATGTACGTTTTGGACCGTTTTTTGGTCCATTTCTTTAGCATGAATATAAAAATTAAATTGGAATTTTACATGCACAATATTATTGTTACAGTCAAATTTTAAATTAAAATTAATAATCAGAAATGAATGTATGCGTTCCATATACAGTATGATAATTGCACTATGCATATATATAAGCATCAATAGATGATTTTACAAAATATTTTATAATAATTACATTTAATAGCAAAAATATTAAACGGCTTGAACAGAAAGTTCAGTATGGTTGACCCACGTGGCAGGGAACATGTTAAATATTTAATTAAATTTTTCACAGTTTTTTCATGTCATGTACAAAATATTTACACAAATATATAAGTGATAGTAAACATATACACACACACACATACATACATACATACATATATATATGTTTACTATTACCATTGCAAATTTGTAATTGCATATTTTTGATTCTTATAATTTTCAATGCAGATCAGTATCAATTAAGCTATTTACACGATGCGTCCTTTTCTACTTAGAGGCGCACTCGCCATACTCTGTTACCACAGGTATCTGTTATCACTTTTGCAATGTTCATTTAAATACTATGTCACACATCAATTTGTATATCACTATCTTCTGCTTCACTTTCAGTACTCACCATAGCATCTTCCCCCACTAACAAAGCAGCAGGTAAGTTTTGTGGTACATTGTCAATGTCTAGTCTCGGAGTGGAATACACATTTAAAACTTGTATTGTTGTAGGAGACGTCGATAGACACTGCGGTACAGATCCCAGAGGGTCTCCACTTAGTGCGTCGCAATCCAAAGAGGTGGACAGTTGCAATTGTAAATTATGAAGTTCAGGTATATGTGGACGGATCTGAAATACATAAGAGTTATATAAGATGCTTGAAAACAGAGAAGACAAAAATTAAATATATGACGAGCTTTAAGTCGAGCAAATTAACTCACCTTTAATCCATCTGCCGTGTGAGGATTTCTGCAACCTCTACATCTACATTCTACACAAGGTTTACTTTCCACATAACAAGGACACCTTTGACCACAACAGGTAAGTTTGCCAGGTATTGCAGTGGCATTGCCACATCTGCATCCTTTCCTTTTACTTCTAGCTGAACTTGACCTCGGCTTCTTAAAACTGCCTGAAGACTGCTTAGAACAAAGCATGTTATGTTATTGTTAATATTCATAAAGAAATACAGGTCTAAAACTAAATATTATAGATCAATGCAGAAGTAGCCGAATTAAAAGTTGGAACAAATATCTCCTTGAACATGATAAAAAAAGACAAACATCTGCATTAATCTTTCTTATGGGACCTAGGCGAACGTAAGTCTCGAGATTTCTTTAAAACTAGTATTAGTATAAAAATAAGAGCGATATATATAATGGTTAATCACAAGTTCAGATATAATTGTTAATAGGTCAGAAAAATCACATTGTACCTTACAAGAAGTGTTAATGGAGGACGCACACATCTTTAAGCATTTAAATAATGATTATAATGCAATGTATAATCCTGTAAGGCGTAAGATTAACCGAATATCTATTGAAATTACTTTGCTGCTTTTTGAAGATTTTTTCTCAGAAGGGGTCCCATATCTAAGGTGGGAAGACGGAATGCATTTTACCCCTCCTACAGAGCTGTGCTGGCTCCCATCCGTCTCCTGTTGACTCGTATCCATGTCCTCTGTAGCAGCCGCTTTACGTTTTATCGTAATTTTATTACCAGATCCAGCGTACATCACAGAATATATAGAGGATCCATTCGATACCGTACGGATCGTTGGCGATTCTAGATTGACAATAAGACACAATAGAGATTATTATTTACGTATTACTTATTCACTGATCGAATAACATTCATATTTACTTATATATTATTCATTTATAACTCGAGTTAATACTTGTTTTAAGAGAACGGTGTTGACGGTACACACCAGGTATACTCTGGGATATCGCCTCGGTGGTCTGCACGCTATTTCCCTGTGTCTGCGTTGAGGTGGTGCTGGTGTAAACACATGGTAGGATACTGTACGCAGACTTGGACAAGCCGGCGTTGCTCTTGAATTCGTCCTTGAAGCCGGCGCCTTCCTGGATAAGTTCCATGAGGCTGGTGGCACCGATGGTGGACGGTGCCCCGTTGGTGGTAGCGCTGTTCGCGGACGTCACGGACAGCAGGAGGGTGCGATAGATACCGGTGCTGGTGAGGTACTCGCATAGCTTCTTATAACACTGCAGCAGTATCCGTAGTTGGACGTTCTCCACGTATTTCTCGTAATCCTTGCACCAGCCGCATGACGGTTTTAGCTTCTTGCGGCCGCCGCGGCATCCGCGGCACACGTGATGCTGACAGTTGGTCTCGGTCGGCGTGTGCGGCTCGATGAGGAGATTCGAGCACACGGTACAGCTGAGACTCTGCCGCAGATACGGCACCAGCCTGTAAAGATCCGTCCAGGAGTTGGGATCCTCGGCGTCTGCCTGCAGCACCAGTCGACACGTAGACACGTACAGGCTCGTCGCGTTCATCGCGCTTTCACGCAACACGTCCACTCCGCGCGCCGATCCGGACACATGCGATGCCGATCACACCTGTCAACCGAAGTCCGAACTCGCCGCGGATTCTAATTCTTAAATTATTGGGGCGAACAGCCGCTGCTAAACACTCCGCGCGTAACCATCCTCGCGCACACAAACAAAACATACGCCATGTTTCGTCGGTGACGCGCGTCTCCGACGCATTCGCAGAGAGGGCGCAACGTGTACTCTTCCGCGCCGGGTATCTCGTGTCGTCTGAAGTCAGGCGCATTTCAAACGCGACTGCCGTCTTGTAATCATCGTTTTATTTTTATTATATTAAAAGGTCTGTTCTTTATAGCTGAACTGGCTGCACTAGTTCAGAGCTTATCTTTCTCCTTCCAATGGGGAGAGAAAAAGATAAACTCTGAATTAGTGCAGCCAGTTCAGCTATAAAGAACAGACCCAATGTCATGTGTAGCGTGTAACCCTGTAATCATGTGTAATGTGTAATATGTAATATATGTGTGCATAATGCGATTGATTCTTACTGATCATCAGTAAAAGTACATTTTTTGTTTCAAGGATATTAAATATATACAAGCATAATTATTAATTGTTATTGAGAGATAGATAAATTGAATTTAAAAGAAAGATGAGTTTGTTTGTATAAATAGGTAAATAACATAATGCTTATTAAACAATGAAAACCTAATTCTACAAATTATTTATTAATTTTTATTTAATGCAATATATATATACAGGGTTCCCGCAACGTCGATGTCCACACTGAAACTGTGTATTCTTTTTGTCATTCTAAGTCAAAAAGTCTTAATACACATATGCCCTAAAGTCGATTGTTTCAAAGTTATAGCGAAAAAACAAAATTGCATAAAATAAGAACAATATTATTTATTAAAGATAATATTATTTATTGATAATTAAACAATAATTAAACGATAATTAAACAATAATTTACTTTATAAACTACTTTATAAATTGTTCAAAGTGACCACCATTTTGCTCTACACACACTTCTGCTCTTTGCATTTTAACTAATATTCGCATTCTGTCGGTAATCCGGCATCCTCTTAAACATGATCCCAAACGATTGCTTCGTTGGTTACAATAAATACTGTATACATAAAATTCGTGATTTATCTTTAGGTTTGTGGAATCAACACGAATGCTGATGATATAATTTAATAAAGTACAGTAGAATATAAAAAAGTGAGAAGAGAATATTCATATTCACGTGTATATTTTAGATCCCTCTCATCTTGTGTGGTGAGCATTTTTCTAAATTATTTTTTCAAACAAGCTTTTTTAATATTTTTTATTTATTTCAGTGTAAATTTTACATATTTTTCAAGTATTGCTTTTTTTAAACGCTCCGTATGTTATTTTTTATTAATCTCTTACGTTAACTACGATTTACGATTCTTGAATAATATTTCCCTTATTACTTTTTTTCTAACATAGAAATTTAATTTCAGGTTACCATTACTACCAAGAGAGAGATACACGGAGAAAGGTGTTTATTTATACGAGAAGAAGATGGCACGATGGTTACGATGCGGTGTTGTTAAACGGATGATTTACAGCGCGCGACGTCGAGGGGAATGCTCTTTTTCGTCCTTGCACGTTATTACGCGATGCCGTTTCACGCAATGCGTAGTTTTCGTCAATATTATGCTGTCACCGAGACATTTCGGGCCAGACTTTCTCTTCCCTCTTCCGTCGAGATGTGCATTTACAGGTGAGATTGAAGTAATACATATATTAAATTAATTCTCCCCACTGTGTATATAAATAAAAGGAACAAGTGGATGCTTTAAATTAAATTAAAAGTGATATAAATCCTTTTCAAAATTAATATAAAATTTATTTGATGATGAATCTTATTAAAAACGGATATAATTATTTATTTATTGAATATCGTACGTATAATTAAAAAGCGACAATTTTGTCGATTATATTATTGAAAAATATTACATTTTCAGTTTGACAATCTTTTTTAACATATTTAGCGATGCAATTATGAATATAAAATATGAAATGGAAAGGTATGAAGCATATGTAATATATTGATGTATTTAAATGAAAACACACGCACACGATATCGCGAGAAGAGGAAAACAAGATATTTTATATTGTAACGAAAGGAATATAACGCAATGAGCTACAGAATATTCTTCATATAACAGATTATTTGAAACGCAAATCTTAAAATGCAAAATGAACAGATTACTAAAATATGTATCAGTATTCACCCACACTCCAGCCACATTGACCTCGCTATTTCTGACTTGACGCTTCTTTACGAGAGACAAGGAAACTCGGAAAATATTAGGAATGTATGTCGAGCCGTGTCGTAATATTTCTACAAACATCATTATATAGACATCGGGACTCCGCTTACTTTCCACATCCCTTGATTTTGCGGCCATGGCCCATCGCGCGCTTGGCTGCAGTTGGGTAAGATCGTCTCGTAGAATGTAGATAATAATTTGCCTCTCGTGCATGCTCGCACGATGTTCTTTCTTTGCATTCATCAGTTTGTATCGTTATTCCTTACGCGTTCATTATGTGACCTTCGCGATCGAGCCCGTTCCAAAAATTATGTAATATCTTGCTCTCTCTCTCTCTCTCTCTCTTTCATAGCGTTTTAGCGCATTAATTCTTTTTTTTCTCCTTTTTTTCATCCAACGGATTTAATCTTGAGAATCGATCTGCTGCTTCTTTTAGCTACGTCTTATATACACTCGCTTCCTTTTCCCCTCCTCTCTTCGAAGATTGAGTTAATAGAAACAAGATAATCATAGTAATAAAGGTATTAAGTATTTTCTGTTAATAAAGGATGTTTGAATCTTGGAGAAACAAGCGCGATGATAAAGATTGATAATATTTGTTGTAAAATTATTGAGACAGGATGGCGGTTAATTATGATCAGTAAATCCGACAATAATTGGTCGAAAAATTCATATATAGATGGAGCGAAAATTATCCACATTGTAGATTGTAATTAGACGGACTATATCAGATAAACTAGGAAGTTGTTGTAACATCGCGATCGATTGACGCGAGCTAGTAATTACCGGTTTTTCGTTAGATTGGACGGGGAATTCCCTTCGGGGCTCGTTTCGTGGGACTTTTGCTAAAGTAATGCAAATCGATTTTTATCTGATTCAATGTTTTATTCATAAAAACATGACGAATAAAAATAGGCAAAAATAGATTTTGACTCATACACAATACCTAGTATTGTTTTTTTTATTTCCGTTTCGATACTTTTAAAGTACAAATTACATGAAAAATATATTTTCTTTTACAATATTTATGGTAAAGTTGAAATATAATGACATTTAGATATTTATTATTAATAAAAAATTATGCATTTGTTTTATTGTTTCTTTAACGATTACGCATTTCTTTGTGCATCAAAATATTTGAATAATTACAATATTTCTTTGTAAAATATAATACATATATAATATTATTGAATAAGAATATCGTAATTTCTCTTATATGTTAGTATGTTCCACGATTACAAAAATTATATTGTAATTTTTACTATAATATTTTTTCCGCGTCTTTACTCATTTTCTTGCAGTTTTAATCACACTCCGATCGACGAAGATTTCAATTTCATGAAAAAAGAGATTCTTCTTATCATCACGCACATCGTGTTTAAAAAAAATATATGAATTTTCGTGCTCCATTTCTCCTTTGTGATTACGCAAGCTGATCGTTTGGTATTATAAATGTCGATTATGGCGTAATCTTACACAATTGCCGCATTAATTAAGACATATCTCAATATATATCAAAGTCTACTCTTATCTGCATATAATCGCAAGATATACGCGCTTTAATCTTTTACGAAAATAACAATTCTTTTCAGAAAATACCACACATGTGATTAATATGTCTCATGTATTTCATTGTTTAGTTTATTACATGTATATGTATAAATGTGTAATAGATCCTGGTGTATAAATCATGGAAACACGTTTGTATAGAATGGAATTTATTATAGATGATATTGATAAAACATATCGTCTCGACGCGCAATAAAACGCACGAGTGCGTCATACATTTGATTTTACATGTTTCAAGACAGTGTATTTATTATGTAAAAAAGATAATAACTTTGGCGATTAACGGGTTGCAGAACAATTCATAGACTTAAACGTATATATTTTTAGCATATTTATTATGTGGACAGCAAAAAGATTTGCTAAGAATATCAATTTTATTTACTGGAAATATATAATCTCATTAATTCCGCGAATTAATTCGCTACAATAACATATTGATTGATTTTTCATTTATCATTAAGTGACGATTTTATCGCGAAATGCATTTGACTTTTCACTTTTAAAGCAAATTTAATTTGTTTTAGCAGCTAATTTGTGTTTTTGCAAAGAGATTTACTCGGCAAGATTTTTTTATTTATTCAACAAGAATTTTGATATAACGTCAAATAATTGATTGTGATAATGAAATTTGGTCGCTTTTGCGTTTAATCTGCATCAGCAGTTTTCGCAAAACATTTTTTTTCTATACTATTATTTATTTTCGAATTATTCGAAATGTCCGCGATATATGCATATATATAATATTAAAAAAGAACTATAAATATTCTGTGTGCGAGAAATATTTTGTCAGAATCAATTCCCGAAGAATTAGCAGCTGAAATTATCATAATCATATACCGATACTACACGAAAGTTAATTGAGACTGCAAAAATTCGACAAAGAAGAGATGCAGACATTCCACATAATGGTTTGCGTCACTGATATAGCATAAGTTATCGCGCTTTCATAGACTCAACATAAATACTCGTGTCATAATTGTAAAATGAGGTGTCAAAGTGACGCGATGTGCCCAAGTAATATTCTTTATGAAATTTACGAAATCAGCAACACTTATCGCATTATTGTCGGGTATTAAGTTCCCAATCTCACCAAAGATAACGGTGGCTTTCCTTTAAACTTAAATAAGGAGCGCATACATTCGCGATACGTATTCATCAGCGAGTGCATCATCGAGTTTTCACGGTGTGTTTTTCGTCGTCGCGTTTTCATAACACAGTTGCGTCTAAGTATCAACGATGAACGAATTGTGAATAATGTCACGTCAATCGGCATGATAAGCTTCAGGAATATTGGTTACTGCATTTTCGATATCAGTTTATCAAGCTACGAATTTGAAACAATGACATTGATGTCACGTAGTTAGTGATCTCTTCCCGATTAGGTGAACGCGAGAAGACAATAATTCGACGAGTGAATAATTGAATAATTGAATAATTTGACATCGAAAGTGATTGTGATATTAACGGAAAATTAATTAAGTAAGCCTTTTTTATTTATTTACAGAATTCGCGATTCCGTAGATAGACTTGATAGAACGTTTCCGAAGAAGTTATTGTTCGGAGATCTTGAAACAGATTGCGTTTTTGAATTTTCTATCAATATGTTAAAAGTTAAAATATCACATCGTTGCAAAAATTGCGTAGACATAAAAAATAATGTTTAGTGCAATTTCTATTTTTCTTTGTATTTACACGCAATTTTTTACTCATATAATTATTTAATTATGTTCTTTTAAATTATGTTTTTGCCTAATGGTGAATAAGAGGTCTTTTTATCTGATGTTTTAAATTATCTCTATTTTGTCTCTTATTTCGTTTTTAATAATATTAATGTACAAACAAGCTGTTTATTGATAAAAGCAAGATTACTCATATCTTGATTTAAAATTTTTACATTGCTAAGCGATATTTCTAAACGATTATAATTTATGATTCTTTGTTCTCTCTTTATTACGTATAATTTATACAAATATGTTAGAATCATTTTTAAATAAAATTAAAATATGTGATATTATCATTTATTAATTGCTTTGCATAAATAAATTATATAAGAAGACATATACATATTAAAACAAATTTTCAATCATTTAATTATATATATATATATAATTAAAATCTAAACAGATAAATACCGTTTTATATTAGCAAAAAATGAGTCTAATTAGAAAGAAAAAGAGAAAAAGAAATGATAAAGAGAGAGAAATTATATAAATTTTTAATTTGTTTTTATTAGATTTTATTGCTTTCTTTTTTAAATATATTTTTACCTTAAAATATATCCTGAGATGATTTCCAAACGATTTCTTTTCAACGAAAATATCGAGATAGCTCATCTTTCTCGGGCATTCACAATTGACATTTTAACATATCTTCGTAACATTCTTTGAATGAAAGCTCCGTTCAAGTAAAGGCCGGGCGAAATCAGCTGAGGAATATCATCTATATTTTCTTCTTTAAAGTTTAGTTTGCCGGAAGCCTTTTTTATTTTTACACAGACGTTAAAGTATTTGTTGAGTATCTTTCTCGCATTAATTTCTACGAGAAAAAGGAATATCGAGGTACACACCGGTTCTGCGTATACTTACCTGCTGCTCGTCAACGAGTTTCGGGTTACGAGTGGAAAGTCCACTGACGAATTCGTGCTCGGGAAAAACATATAGTTCTTGGTCGCATAAACTGACGGGGGAACCGTAAACGGGGGATTTCGCGAATATCCTGTATCCTTCGTATCATTATCCTAACGACAGCATCATACTTATCCTCTATACTGTCCAGGTAAAGCACAGGAGACCCCTCTCGAGTCCGCTCTCGTGGGGTCGACCTCCGCGCGGGAGATCTCCTGTATCATATAGACGAGCGAGTGGCGCGATTTCAGTCCAGTCCTTCGTAAAACGTCCGTGAAACCGTCATCCGGTGGTGTGTATCCGCGTCGCTTTCGTCGAAAGCCGGAAGAGACAGAGCAGCTTCCGTTGTTTCGCGAACGCGCGAGTTTGTGACATGGTGCGCCCGAATTTTAGCCGTGTCCAGAGAGTTGAACGCCCGACGACACGTGTTGCGAATCAGTTGCAATAGCGCAATTATAAATTATACTTGCGTACTTTAAAGATTATTATTTTGGGATTATTTCATCATCTCGAGAATATGATACGGTACGTCGCGTTAGAAATCTGAGAAATTCCTTAAGTTTATTTTTTTATTATTTAGAAAAAGATTAAATGAAGAAAAATAGAGGTATTTTTAAAGTACTTAATATAAATATCGAATATGAAAATAATTAAAATGTTTAGTTTTTAAAATTTTGAAACTTTCTCGATTGGTATTATTATCGCACGTGCTTTAATATTAAGGATGACGTAGGATTTGGCTTGCTTAAATATCCTTGAAATTCCTAAGTATCTTTAATGACTTCTATTATATAGAATATAGACATTCAAATAACACTTGGAGATGATGTTTTCTTGTAACGGGAAAGCTAAATATAAAAAACTATGGTTTTTCCGTTACAACAAATGTTAAAGAATTTTTTCGTACGTTTCGCACGTTATTTTGTCACTGTTAATACCACGTTACGTTCAAAAACTTTATGATCCAAAATAAAAAACTCACTTGCAATAAAAATAAAAAATAAAAAATTACTTGCGTCTCATTACATTTATCGCTACATGTTTAAACTAAAGAGAGATAAAATCAAAAAGTAAAAAATCGAGGTACATTTAAAATAAAATCAGTGCCTTTAAACTTTTGTTGCGGAGACCAGAGAATATTTCATAAGCATTCTTTGAATCTCTACTGGCACAAATAGATTTTTCTATAATTTTTTTTAAGTTTCTATGATTTTATTATAAACTATTTAAAAAAATAAAAACTAAAGTTAAAAAATAAAATTGTTAATAATTGAATTATATATTTATGTATAATTTGGATATATTATATTTATTTATATTTTAAAACTAATTATTTGGTTAATACACAAATATTGAACTCAGGTGTCTGTATCACGTGGTTCGATATACATATAAAAACTTTATTTAAAAAATCGGACATAGAGAGTGTCTTGTATGCGAGTAGGCAATATTTTAATAATTAAAAATGTTATCGATATAAACATATACATATATAATAAAGATGTATATGTATTTTTGCCAATTGCTTTAATATTTAAAGTTGTTTTATCATCGAAAAATGATTAAAAAAGATTGTATTAGATTTGTTTGAATCCGCAATAAATTTTATGTTTACAATAACAGAAAGATGATTATGGGCACAATTGCGGATAACAGCTTTGTCTCGTGCTACAGGTAATGTAGGTGCAGGTGCGCGTTGTGCCAAATTCGTAAAGTTACGATGCGTATATGTTGTGTTGTAAGAGAGATTTCGACATTGCAGCATGGGTGATTTGAAGCGCCAAGTGCGGTTTTATATCTGTTCGCGGCAATTAAACGAAATTTTCTTTGCGAAAGAATTAATCATTTTACTTTGTGTTGGGTTTTATCTTAAAATACATTTATCAATAGTATGTGTATATTGAATTTGTAGGATATAATAAGAATTCAAGAAATTTCATAGTACTATCCGAAAGAAAATTTAAAATAGAATTTGAAAGTTTGAAATCGCAAGAAAAGATATATTTAAAAAAAAATAAAAAATAAAAAATTTTATTTTCTTAAAAAATAAAATTTAAATTAGATAAAATTTTAGATTATATTTTTTGTATATATAATATTATTTCAACGAAATTTGTACATAACATTACTTCTACGAAATTTTTTATTTGATATTTAATTATAAAGCTGCATAATACGAAAGATTAAAAAGTAAAAAATTGCGATTCTCATCATGATCAGGGAAAAAAATATCATTTTGCATTAATCGTATGTGTATGTGTATATGTGTGTGAAATACGTGTATGAGATAATGTTTCGTTTTATTATTAACTTTAACGTAGAGAGTATAAAATACAAACGAAGCTGTCATTGAAATTCAGCGGTCGGTTAAGCGATAGCCTCTTCAATGATTCCCTACTTCTGTAAATCAATTATGTGCGAAATCTATGATTATTATCTCTACATATATATAGGTCAGAAATATAATATCATCGAGAAACCGGAAAAGTGGTATTAGCAAGATAATTTGTTTTAATTAGTAGACTGATAATTTTTTACAAATCGACTAACATGGATAAAAAGATATTACAAAACATATTAAGATAACGCTTTATCTCACACCGACGACATTAAAAAAATTATTAGCTTATTTGCTTAATCGCTTGTATGATGTACTTAAAATAATTCTAAGAAAAGAAATATAAAAATTTTAAACGCAAACATTTTTAAACGCTCTCGGATTTAACATTCAACTTCGCAAAAATTGACAATTAAATCTTCTTCGATTTATATTAATTCAGTGTTATCTTTTACACAATAATTACATACACATACACAGCGCTTTAAGCTAACAAGTTTATTGTTAGATTTATAAACCATCACGTGCTAAACGCCTTACAGCCTTACATGCACGCATTACATAAGGCGCATCAAACGCACGGACGCACAATATCTTTTGAATCTATTTGCGTATATATCAGTTATCTTTATCGATAGATTTTATCTCCATAATATATAGTATTCTAATTTATACGATAATGTGTATGTAATGAATTGAATTTACATTTTACATATGTCTGATCTTTCCTTGAATTATAAAATGTCTTACAGAATGAATATGATAATCTGGAACGTGTTACTTATCCTGCTTCAACTGGTCGTTCGTGAAACCCAATCAGGTGAGTGCGATCCTTTTTACATCTAATATTAACTGTGCCTTGATTTTTTATTGTATTTTGTGATTGCATTTTATTGCACTTCTATTTTTGCATATATGATTTGCGCATACTGAGCTTTTAGTTTTCTCTATTTTTTATTTTGCAACAAAAGCGAAGCCTTTGTAAGAGAAAGAAAAGAGCAATCGGGGCGCTTTTTAAATATTTTATAAATTTTTGTCCGGGAAAAATATTTGAGTAAAAATAAAAAAAAATAGTTTTAGATAGAGAAATATTTTTAAATCGTTATTTTTTTATTTCAGAAACTATAATAACGGCGTACGATGACTTCGGTTTGTCGCCGATCGATCCGGAGATCGCCGACAGCATCGATTGGAAGCGTCACGCGTGTCGGCGAACGTGCAAGGATGGCGCGGCACCTCTGGATTGTTATTATACCTTTAAGCTGGAGTCTTATTACGCGATGAGCAAAGCTTGTTACGACTGCCCCTTCAATATTACGGACTGCTTTCGGCCTCATTGCATCCCGGCGGATGGCGTAAAGCGATCTCTCTTGGTCGTGAACCGGCAAATGCCAGGTCCGTCGATCGAGGTGCGTGATCGTTGGATTGCGAGACAAGTTTTACGGGGCTATTTTCATCAGAGATCGCTTGTGTCTCTATCTTTACCTGCTCTGTTTTTTTTTATCGGTTTTTTTTTTTACGTAAAATGTTGAGAATTTCGCAAGATTATGATACCAATTAAGCGGATAAATTTTTGCATAAACTTGAACCTAGTGTTATAAAATGAATGTTCAGTCTTGTATATCCATGTATTTTTTGGTCATTCTTTATCTGGTTATATTTTATATTTTTTAATTATATTTTATATTTT